AAGGAAAACGCGGTGTGAATCATAAAGATGGATAAAACTGACATATACTGAAAGTTAATGAATAGAAATAATGAAGATGCGTTGAAATTGACTGAACTAAAACCACCTTAAATTAATATGCAAAATAAAGAATGGTCTTTTCCTTAAACACTGTATTTTGGAGTGTAGTGTTCACGTCAACTTATTTCTAAATCCACACTTTTTTCAGGCAATTATGTGAATTAAATACGTACAAAATTTTTTATTGAGCACTCATACATCAGGTTTATCGAGTCTATCTATCCCACATTCGGGTATTCAAATTAGAGAAAGGTTATCTAAATCCAGACAACCAACAAATTGACAGCGAGTCATATAAGAATGTATGGATCATATATTGTGGGAGCGAGTGATACCCCTTAACAGAATGAGATTCGGTAGGGGTAGAAAGGTATGGACTTGTGATGTATCACAAAAACAATTTGACGTCTAGAACAATAAACGATTTAATGGTCGAGGGTTTAATAGCTAGGTTGATAGACTAATCTAACTCTAAGATCACACTTACACTTATTTGAATAGGATTAATAGAGACTAAGATATTTACAGCTGGAATTCCATCAACTTGTACAATTCTGCGGAAAAAGGAAAATATGTTACATAGATAACGGGAGATACTATTTAGGTAGACTGGATGTCACATACAACCTCGTATACATCGTCATTAGGCATCGAATAATAAGTTCTGGTATTCTGAAGGCTATAGAAAAACCCAGTTGCACTTGAAATTATTTGACTGAAAAGTATAGCAGCCTAAAATAATTATTTATTGTAATGGGGTTTAGATTGTTCAGTTTGGAATATTCTTTCTAAAATCAATTGTTGCAAACTTAATCCTAAAAAATAATTACACATTTACTGCATCAACAATTATGAATGGAACTGTGTAAATAGTATTTACTTGATCGTTTGACTGCTTCAATTCGGCGATCAATTTCTCAGTATTCGATTGGTAGTCGCGTAAATTATCTTTTATACGCAAGGAAGATTCTTCAGAGTTTGGCGGAGCAGCTGAGGCAAAATTTTTAACTGTTGTGGGGAGGTGTTGATTTTCCGACAAAGCAAATCCATTTTCATATTTATGAAAACAAGATTTCTCAACTGAATTGACATTCTTTAAATTTCTTGAATCATAGTCCACTGGATTTTGGTCTACTGTAGTAAAATGAGCAAGATTGTGATCAATACGACGAGACTGATGAGCATAGTGATGAGAATTAGTTAGAACACCTTCATTTCTGCTTGTAAGAAATTGGAGTTTAAAGATTTATTTAAACAAGCAACTTAGATAGGGAAGATAAACAATATGAATAATGAAAGTTGAGCACAAAATAAGCAATAAATAATGTGTAATTTGATCCCGGATGATGTTACACAGTAAGTGGAACAATTTAAAAAGCATTAAATCGATTTATAAGAGTAATAAATTAATCAGCTATTTTACGGGAACATGTTAATATAAATGACATAACATCTCAGTTTTTTTCATGCGTAATAATCAGTCAAATAACTCCCAAGGAACTCGTTTACCGAGTAAAATTTAACATACTCAGCATTGCGTATGTGATGACTAGTTATACTACTCAGTTACTCAGATGTAATTATATAGCGTAGCAACTAAACATGGGATATCCGGTTGAAACCCAAAAGTTGTAAGCTGCCATGATTTAACCGTAAGCAACTGAAGTAAACAATGTTAACATATCGTGTCTAAATCACCCGACAGGAAACTAATGAAGTCGTCTTTTAGGGGTACTAAACATCTTCAGCCGCAAATAAAACCTAGGTTGACATAAAATCCGAAGAAATCGTGCAATACTGGCTACTATATTCTGCACAGCACAAAGAATGGGATGATATAGTTAAACAATAATTAGGCCTACAATTCATATATTTATTTTGTTGATGTATGAATGACTTAAGAAATTCATATCTTTCAATAATTCGTTTTTTCAATGCCACAATTAAGTGAATATCCTGAACCTAATATTAGGTATTTAGGAATTTTACTCTACGACATAAAAGGACCTATCCTGTTATTTAGTTGTTTTGATTTTTGATTACGATCTATCTCAGAATTTACGTCAATAACTCAAATTCCTCCTCAGCTATCATTTGACCCCATCGAATAACTGAGCAATATCTATAGACTTCAGTTCTAATCTTACGTTTCAGTAAAATCAAAACATGTATCATCAAACCATAAAATCCTAATTAATAGTATGACAGTGTTAACGATCAGTTGAATTGTTTTTTACAGTCTGAAAAAGCTGTGAGTAGTAGTTCAAAGTTATGAATCAACACTGATCAAAGTATACGACGAACATCTCAGAAATATACCCCATCATTACAAGCTATTCATACTAGTATCAGCCTTACTAGGGATTCACCTGAAAGACATTGTTTGTCGATAAAACTATAGGTCAAACAGATTTAGGCAAATTAAAACCTTCTGACAATGTTTCCTCGATAACATTAACCTCAAAATCTACAAGACATTCAGCACCGTCTTCCAAAAGTATACGGCTGTGAAAGATACCACTTGTTTATGCAGCAGACTTTATTTTTTGGGTATGCGAATCTAATTAAAAGCAACCTTATGACAGACCAAACATGTAAATGTGTTGGTTAGGGTAATATTATATGAACATGAAAAAATATATACAGTACTTGATCTTGCATAGTAATTCAGAGGTTCTCTTCAGCAAGGGATCCAGATTTTCAAAACATCTGTCAATGTCAGATGTGTGAACCCTGAAAGTCAACTATAGCAACACTTACATTGAAAACTTGATCGCAGAATAAATGCTTAATAGACCAAACAATACTGTAAATGTTTGAAATTCAATAGCGAAGATAAGAAGATATCCTAAAAGCTTCCAATACACCGTACTTATGAACCCACCTCCTGATAAAGTGCAAATCTGAAATACAAAAGAAATCCTGCAAAATAAACAGCCCAGGTAGTGGTTGAATAAACAATATTGGATAAGATTTGTGAACTCCCAAAAGTCTTAATTTTCGTGCATACTCTACTTGCGTATTAACGACCAGCCTCAATTCACGATTAAACTTGTAGATATATGATGATTTATATGATTTAGGGAAATTAAGAACATAATAACTAAATTAGTCCCAGACCACATCGTAACTCTTGAATACAAAAGTCATTCACTTGAACCCATGAGTTATAACTTTTTTCTTCCTGAGGTGAGAACGCAGAAAACAATTATCAGGAGCAATACGTCAGGGCTTCTAAGGTGACAGACTTTGTTGCTGACAATTCCGTTTTTTAGAGCGGCTTTGCAGTTTGTATCTTTAGTACCCTCTGTTGACTCTACGAATGACAATGATGATGAAATATAATTCATTAATTAATTTCAAGCACCAAACGTAGATTAACTCGGTTGTGTGAAGGTGGCAACAAAAGACAAATAAAAGATGTTCTGTGATGGATTTTTTGGGGCATTTATATGCAATGAATCGGAAGGGGAGAATAAATAAATTATGCTTAGGAATTCAACTAACTCTGAATCCATGAAATAAGTTTACGTTTCAGATAATATGAAAAGCAGAGAAAGAGTGGTAAAGATAAATTTTGTTCTTCCAGCTTTAAGACTTTCTCTCATTATCATACTTGAATGCAAGATATTGAGACCGTCGGAATTCTATTTTTCCATAAAATGACTTCTCGTAAAATTTTGGAACACATTTTCAAATACTTACATTTAAGTGTCACAAACAGTTAAAAAGACTCAATAATAATATTAATTACATTCAATTTATTGTTTAGATGATAATTAATAGCTCCACTTTCTCACAAATTACGAACAAAACCTCCTTACAAATGTCACGGTTAAAAATAAACACCTTTGTGTTAAGCGGCTAACAATCAGAATAGGTGTTTTACCTCAGTTAAAAAAGGCAGAACTGGATTGTGATACCGTTGAGCATGGCGTTTGAAGAAGTGTCTTGAACTCTTTTATGTTCGCAGTCTAACGGATGCTTGATTTGACGACTAAAATGACACACAAGTTCCGACCGAATCAGACATGATCGCTTTCTTTAAGGGTATATGAAATTGATGGTTGATAGGAAGGACGTATTTGGCCGATGACCTTTTAATTGGATACGAAGAAAATAATAAGAGTCTCATGTCAAGTTGTACTGTTCTCTGGTGTGTAACGTTCAGCCTCTGTTAATTTTGGATCAAGGCATAAAGCACCTTGTGTGACAGTGGTGTGTGTAGAGCAACTAAAGTGACGTAGAATCTTCTAGAGAGAGGACAGAAATTAGAAAAGAGTTCTAAGACTAGGCAGAAACATGGAATTCACGAACACTTAGCATTCGAAGTAAAAGTTATCGTCGTAAGGATTTTAGTACTAGACTGGAAGTGATGGTCGAAATTTTACGTTCAGCTAATAGTGATTAATAAACTATCGATGTTTTCATAGTGTCGGCCAATAAGTTTCTAAAATAAAGTTATCCAATTCTTCAACACTGATGCCGACCCCATTAGTATTTTGAACACACTAGCTAAAGGCACTCGATCACACATTTGCGCTTGATCACGAGTTGGTGCGCCGTGCTAATCATCCCTTGCAATTGCTATCCAGCAATCGCCCCTAGACATACCGACGGCCTTCTAAATATATATTCGAACCCTTTCATTTCTGACTTCTGAGTTGAAGTGAACTGATATACTTCGATTAAAAAGTTGTGGCATTTAAAGCTCTTCTCGAAATGAGCATAACTGTGGCAACGTCAAAGATATTAATACTCGAGTTTGTGGAGCAGGTATCAAGATCCATTTAACTAACATTCTACAAAACTACCACCTTATTCATATAGTTGTATTGTAAATATACAAAGGGTCATTAGTCATAAATCGACAATGTTTGATGTAGAATAACGATTGGTAATTTGTTTTAACGTTTGAAAACCTTATTTTGCTTCTACAACTGACTCTGGCAAATATTAGAAATGTCGGAAAGCATACAAGAATGTTTGCATTTGTATTTGGAGGATAAAAACGGTAAATCTTGCATAACAATTTATCTTTCAGTGACACATGTCGAAAGAGCATTCACGTTATTGAATTTAGCGTCCAACTCATGGAAACCTGGGAAGAACTTTGCCTATACAAGCCATGATATATTACATTTGGCTGTAGTTGCTGCTGAGGTATAAAGCTATGGATAATTTTCAATTTTTCTATATTTGCTTTTTAGGCAAAGCTAAGCGGTACCGCTATTTCTGTCATTAATGTTTTTGAGAGTGTTTTTGGTGGTAATAATGAATTTTCAGATCTAGTGTCATTACTTTTCGCCGAAATATTGTTTCAAAAAAGTGAATTTTCCATTGTAATCTTTAATATAAAATAATGTTGAGTTTTAGAGCACGATAGGTCTGGCTATGGGTCACGTTGAAAAATCGATTTACTTTGCCACTGAGAGTGATCACCAAATTATTATCAATAACTTATTGATTCTTTTATACAAGTTTGTACGAATGAAAGCAACATTATTCAAGAGAGCAGAAATACCTCTATTTTTAAGGCCGAAGTTAAAGTTGCTGATGGATATGCATATTAAAGATTACTCTTTTATATTACGTTTTGGAATGTGAGAGTTTCATATTTTTCAAACTATACTTGTGTACATTTTTTGCCCAAGTTTGTTTTCATTAATATAATCGTTGATGTATTTCATTGGTTCGGTATAAACTGATCTATCAAGTGCAGGTTTTATGGAATTAACCTTAGGTCACTTTTTGTATGAGGCCCAGTGATAATATACACATGTATACCGAATAGCTCAGTGGTAATGTCTCAGATTGTGGGAGTGGGCGACTCGGGTTAGAATACTACAGATATAATTAGTTTCCTGAAGAATCCGGGCAAACTCTGGTGATGAGTGCCAAACAACTTAAAACACAGATGAAGGACAGTTTTCTGTCAACTATCTTCAACCATATAACATCTCGACATAGGGAGCCCAATGTTGAGTAGCACAAACTAGTGTCACACTGCTACTTAATCGGTAAAATTCGATCAGCCCCAAAGGACCAGACAAACAGGACACTGGTCACCCCTCAGTAATTAATCGATTGTATACTATCCGTTTGCTCAAAACCAAAAGTATTAAACTGAGTTTTGCTAATATGAATTATTTGGTTAAAGGCAGGTCGCTCTATCCATACTAGGAAACTGCTTTAATGTCGAAAGAAATTCATATCCTAGAGAATAGGTTTCATTTTTCTATAATTGAGGAATAACAATAATCAAATAATTTTTCTCTGTCACTCAGAGATTAGAATGGCAATTAAATCCTCATCAGGCTTTACACTAATTTACAGTAACATTTATATGCATATATGAAAATATTAAATAAATCAAGGCAGTTTGTCGATTAATAATTATGTAACCTGTTTCGTTGTTATCACTGACTCAAAAATGCCTTGATCAGTTCAATATTTTCATACATGCTCATGAATATTAGTGTATACTAGAATAAAGTCTGGTGATTTTATCTGAAAACAACATTGATCACTTATATGTGTTGTCCCAGTTTAAAATATGGGGATTCCTCACATTCAAAAATTGCCTCAATTACTAAATTAATACTTCTTATTATATCAAAATATACAGTTAGTTCACCAGTCGCATAAAGCATGGCATAGATCCAAGCTGGCTAAATTTGTCGCACTGGATTAGCGCAACGCAATTGAACTAACAAAATGAATAGCAAAATACATCGAAAGAATATAGTGGCAATGTTAACGATAAAGAATGACTATTCGGAATATACTTTAAAATGAAAACAGATTAGTAAAGTATATAGTAAGGAATACTGGGAATCAAGATTGAGTTTATCATGAGAATTTATGTGATAATACATTTAACAAACGTATATAAATACATACTTCTGCAGTTAAATCAATTTGTTTTTGATAATCTTGAAATTCTAATTCATATTTTTTAGCTACTGTAGAGATTTCTTCTTTTAATTTGTATATTTCATCTTTTTTCGTTTCTAAACTTTTTCGCATAGAATCTTTATAGTGTTTTAATTGATTTTGCCAGTGTTCTTTTAATTTGGCACATTTTTTAATAATTAAATTTGATCCATTTTGTTGTTCTGTTAATTTTGTATGATATTCTTGTAAATTTTGTTCATAATTTTTAATTTTACATTTTAATTCTTCTATAGTTCGATAAGAATCTGTATTGTTTCCTTCTAATTCTTTACATTTACTAGTTATTTGACATAATTGTTCTTCTAAAGACATTTTCTCCAAACGATGTTCTGCTTTTATTGAATTAAGCTCTTCATCCCATCTGAATACAAAAGATATTGAAAATATTGTGTACTATCATTATCATTATGAACCATTAAAAACAGTGATTGACTACCAGTACGCGACAGCTTAACTCTGAAAGTCTTTTTTGACTACCGTTGGTTAATTCCTCTGGACATGCTGAATAATTTTGAAACGCTTGTCCAACAAAGTCTTTAATATTACAAGAGGCTTCACTAGTATATAATTTCTATTCACAACTGACCTGTCACTAAGTCGTAGCCAACGTCACATTAGTCTAGTTCTTCAGTTTATCAATGTCTTATACTGTGAAACTAAGTGACCGACTTTCGAATCTTACGAGGAGTATCAGTTCCCAAAAGATCACATTTGCACATCGCTGACGAGTGCCGACTAGCAAAACACTTTAGACAAGATGAGTTTCCAGCTGACTACCTCCAAACACCTAGCGTTTCACTGTACTAATCCTAAAAATTATTCCTACCTACGTTTAAATATTAATTTATTACATAACTGTATATTTTACAGTGTCTATTATACAAGCGTTGATGTATTTTTCAAGCAAATTATTATAGGAACTAAAATATTTCAATCAAATATATGGCAGGGTGAACTTTTCATAGTTGTTTCGATCCAATCTCTATAATTTTTTAATAATAAATTCAATTCTTCACCATTTAACCCCTAAAGGTCAATAAAGATAAAAAAATAAATAATTATTACTGACAAAAAATAATGTACCAATAATATATTCAAGTTATTGCTAAAGTGAGTACCCAACGCCTTTAATCTTATTTAGCCAGTTAGTTACGTGTGTAAACATACAATGTATCCAAGATACCGGTTAAAACGTAAACAAATGCACGTGCAATTCTGTAATATCATATATACGTATAAAAATTATATCAATATATACTTTAATGGTTTTGTGTCCATTATAATTTCTTAATAATAAATAAGATATTTAAATAAAACGAAAAAACATTTCGTAGTAGTTATTGTTCATAGAATAGATACGAAAACGTTTCTATGAATATTGGTTAATTCCATCCAATAATAACAATGATAAAACTGAGTTAGTCAGTTTGACCGATTTGATATTTAGATTTTAAAATCAACGTGTATTACAAAACAAAACTTGTTGAATGGAAACAACCTTCTTATGTACTGCTATATTTCAAAGTCAACTACTAATTATTGAATTATTAATGACAAACTACAGCAAAGAAGCTCACTGAGCAAGTTGAGTAGCATAAAAGAAATAGTGTTTCACTGTTGAAATATTGAAACAATAATTGTGTAATTAGTGATGATAGTATGCCTTCAGTATTATGTTAGGTTGATAAATCGATTAGATGTAATGTTACTACATACTTATTTCATCTTCCTTTTATGTTTCCGCTACTGTTGATATCACTATTCTTAAATATTTTATTTTTATTTTGTTGTACTGATGTGAATCGCAGTAAACTTAAGTGATAACAGGTTTGCACTAGGATAAAAAGTTATGTTGGTTTGACACTTAGGTTGAAGTAAACAACAAAAGGAAACTGTTGTTGAATCACCGGTGTACTATATTTTAAATTATATTTAATAAAGCCTCTAGTAGCCCGTTGTATGGTTTCTTAGCACTCTTATCAAAGAGTCAACATACATTAACTGATACATATCCAGCAAACTTCTCTTCATATCAAAACACCAAGTCATTGACAACCTTTATGTAGCTTTCATCCAAACAATGGGTCATCAAAATGTGATCTGTGTACTTATAAATAGGATAGTGCTAACAGTCTATATGTTGAAGGTTGAAGTTAACGAGTAACAGACTTAAATTATGTTTATCCAATGTAAATAAAAATTCCCGTAATAAAAAAGATTATGGAATATAGATATACAAAGTATTTTAGTATAATATCTAACTGGCCAATTTTTAAAAACAATTTTTTAAATGTAGAACGTAACTTTACCTAATAGAAAAAAGGATAAATGGTAAATGAACCAGAATTTAGTTTACTAGAAGAGCTTTGAAACCAATGAAAATATAGCATCATCCTATTGAGGCATACAGATTCTCAAGATCAACGAAATTTGAAAGTGATAGGTAAATAAACGTTTTTGAAAATACAAAGGTATGTGCGTACAATTTCTTCTAAAGGAAGTCAACTAGATTTCATGTTTTTCAAAGTTTCATCACTATTCGTTTAAACCAATTATCAATAATAATCATAGAACTTACTGAGCACGAACTGATTGATATTGGTTCTTAAGTTCTTCTATTTCTTTATCTTTTCTATTTTCAGACTCTTTAGCTAATTTTATAGCAAGATCTTGTTTGGCCTCGTTATCTTTCCAACCTCTTGTCAAACGACCTAAAGTTGAATCTAACTGACGTAATAAAATATCTTTTGTTGAAGACTCTATTGTTAAAGAATTGACAAGAGCTGTTTTACGCTCCAGTTCAATAGAAAGTTCATTAATCGACGACTGTTTTGCTAATAAGGATTTTTCAAGATTTCTTATCTATAAAACAGGAGATACATATATTTGAACATTAAGCATTCTAAAATGAGCTTCATCCAGTGCAGATTACGAAATAAATAAATAAAAACGACCACTCCAAACTTTTGATTGATTTACTGATTGGTGTGAAAATTTATATGCAACTTATATTCTCGAAATCTAGAAGGATTCTGTTAAGAAAATAAACAGTTCTGAAAAGTTCGTAATTACTGAATGAGACCAAAGAAGGTCGATATGATGTCTAGGTTACTTTAATTATATATTAAGTCAGTGATTATTAATTACAGGGTTCTATTAACTGTATTTCTGTTACTGGATGCAAAATCATAGTGAGATAACTATTGGAAGGAAAACGCGGTGTGAATCATAAAGATGGATAAAACTGACATATACTGAAAGTTAATGAATAGAAATAATGAAGATGCGTTGAAATTGACTGAACTAAAACCACCTTAAATTAATATGCAAAATAAAGAATGGTCTTTTCCTTAAACACTGTATTTTGGAGTGTAGTGTTCACGTCAACTTATTTCTAAATCCACACTTTTTTCAGGCAATTATGTGAATTAAATACGTACAAAATTTTTTATTGAGCACTCATACATCAGGTTTATCGAGTCTATCTATCCCACATTCGGGTATTCAAATTAGAGAAAGGTTATCTAAATCCAGACAACCAACAAATTGACAGCGAGTCATATAAGAATGTATGGATCATATATTGTGGGAGCGAGTGATACCCCTTAACAGAATGAGATTCGGTAGGGGTAGAAAGGTATGGACTTGTGATGTATCACAAAAACAATTTGATGTCTAGAACAATAAACGATTTAATGGTCGAGGGTTTAATAGCTAGGTTGATAGACTAATCTAACTCTAAGATCACACTTACACTTATTTGAATAGGATTAATAGAGACTAAGATATTTACAGCTGGAATTCCATCAACTTGTACAATTCTGCGGAAAAAGGAAAATATGTTACATAGATAACGGGAGATACTATTTAGGTAGACTGGATGTCACATACAACCTCGTATACATCGTCATTAGGCATCGAATAATAAGTTCTGGTATTCTGAAGGCTATAGAAAAACCCAGTTGCACTTGAAATTATTTGACTGAAAAGTATAGCAGCCTAAAATAATTATTTATTGTAATGGGGTTTAGATTGTTCAGTTTGGAATATTCTTTCTAAAATCAATTGTTGCAAACTTAATCCTAAAAAATAATTACACATTTACTGCATCAACAATTATGAATGGAACTGTGTAAATAGTATTTACTTGATCGTTTGACTGCTTCAATTCGGCGATCAATTTCTCAGTATTCGATTGGTAGTCGCGTAAATTATCTTTTATACGCAAGGAAGATTCTTCAGAGTTTGGCGGAGCAGCTGAGGCAAAATTTTTAACTGTTGTGGGGAGGTGTTGATTTTCCGACAAAGCAAATCCATTTTCATATTTATGAAAACAAGATTTCTCAACTGAATTGACATTCTTTAAATTTCTTGAATCATAGTCCACTGGATTTTGGTCTACTGTAGTAAAATGAGCAAGATTGTGATCAATACGACGAGACTGATGAGCATAGTGATGAGAATTAGTTAGAACACCTTCATTTCTGCTTGTAAGAAATTGGAGTTTAAAGATTTATTTAAACAAGCAACTTAGATAGGGAAGATAAACAATATGAATAATGAAAGTTGAGCACAAAATAAGCAATAAATAATGTGTAATTTGATCCCGGATGATGTTACACAGTAAGTGGAACAATTTAAAAAGCATTAAATCGATTTATAAGAGTAATAAATTAATCAGCTATTTTACGGGAACATGTTAATATAAATGACATAACATCTCAGTTTTTTTCATGCGTAATAATCAGTCAAATAACTCCCAAGGAACTCGTTTACCGAGTAAAATTTAACATACTCAGCATTGCGTATGTGATGACTAGTTATACTACTCAGTTACTCAGATGTAATTATATAGCGTAGCAACTAAACATGGGATATCCGGTTGAAACCCAAAAGTTGTAAGCTGCCATGATTTAACCGTAAGCAACTGAAGTAAACAATGTTAACATATCGTGTCTAAATCACCCGACAGGAAACTAATGAAGTCGTCTTTTAGGGGTACTAAACATCTTCAGCCGCAAATAAAACCTAGGTTGACATAAAATCCGAAGAAATCGTGCAATACTGGCTACTATATTCTGCACAGCACAAAGAATGGGATGATATAGTTAAACAATAATTAGGCCTACAATTCATATATTTATTTTGTTGATGTATGAATGACTTAAGAAATTCATATCTTTCAATAATTCGTTTTTTCAATGCCACAATTAAGTGAATATCCTGAACCTAATATTAGGTATTTAGGAATTTTACTCTACGACATAAAAGGACCTATCCTGTTATTTAGTTGTTTTGATTTTTGATTACGATCTATCTCAGAATTTACGTCAATAACTCAAATTCCTCCTCAGCTATCATTTGACCCCATCGAATAACTGAGCAATATCTATAGACTTCAGTTCTAATCTTACGTTTCAGTAAAATCAAAACATGTATCATCAAACCATAAAATCCTAATTAATAGTATGACAGTGTTAACGATCAGTTGAATTGTTTTTTACAGTCTGAAAAAGCTGTGAGTAGTAGTTCAAAGTTATGAATCAACACTGATCAAAGTATACGACGAACATCTCAGAAATATACCCCATCATTACAAGCTATTCATACTAGTATCAGCCTTACTAGGGATTCACCTGAAAGACATTGTTTGTCGATAAAACTATAGGTCAAACAGATTTAGGCAAATTAAAACCTTCTGACAATGTTTCCTCGATAACATTAACCTCAAAATCTACAAGACATTCAGCACCGTCTTCCAAAAGTATACGGCTGTGAAAGATACCACTTGTTTATGCAGCAGACTTTATTTTTTGGGTATGCGAATCTAATTAAAAGCAACCTTATGACAGACCAAACATGTAAATGTGTTGGTTAGGGTAATATTATATGAACATGAAAAAATATATACAGTACTTGATCTTGCATAGTAATTCAGAGGTTCTCTTCAGCAAGGGATCCAGATTTTCAAAACATCTGTCAATGTCAGATGTGTGAACCCTGAAAGTCAACTATAGCAACACTTACATTGAAAACTTGATCGCAGAATAAATGCTTAATAGACCAAACAATACTGTAAATGTTTGAAATTCAATAGCGAAGATAAGAAGATATCCTAAAAGCTTCCAATACACCGTACTTATGAACCCACCTCCTGATAAAGTGCAAATCTGAAATACAAAAGAAATCCTGCAAAATAAACAGCCCAGGTAGTGGTTGAATAAACAATATTGGATAAGATTTGTGAACTCCCAAAAGTCTTAATTTTCGTGCATACTCTACTTGCGTATTAACGACCAGCCTCAATTCACGATTAAACTTGTAGATATATGATGATTTATATGATTTAGGGAAATTAAGAACATAATAACTAAATTAGTCCCAGACCACATCGTAACTCTTGAATACAAAAGTCATTCACTTGAACCCATGAGTTATAACTTTTTTCTTCCTGAGGTGAGAACGCAGAAAACAATTATCAGGAGCAATACGTCAGGGCTTCTAAGGTGACAGACTTTGTTGCTGACAATTCCGTTTTTTAGAGCGGCTTTGCAGTTTGTATCTTTAGTACCCTCTGTTGACTCTACGAATGACAATGATGATGAAATATAATTCATTAATTAATTTCAAGCACCAAACGTAGATTAACTCGGTTGTGTGAAGGTGGCAACAAAAGACAAATAAAAGATGTTCTGTGATGGATTTTTTGGGGCATTTATATGCAATGAATCGGAAGGGGAGAATAAATAAATTATGCTTAGGAATTCAACTAACTCTGAATCCATGAAATAAGTTTACGTTTCAGATAATATGAAAAGCAGAGAAAGAGTGGTAAAGATAAATTTTGTTCTTCCAGCTTTAAGACTTTCTCTCATTATCATACTTGAATGCAAGATATTGAGACCGTCGGAATTCTATTTTTCCATAAAATGACTTCTCGTAAAATTTTGGAACACATTTTCAAATACTTACATTTAAGTGTCACAAACAGTTAAAAAGACTCAATAATAATATTAATTACATTCAATTTATTGTTTAGATGATAATTAATAGCTCCACTTTCTCACAAATTACGAACAAAACCTCCTTACAAATGTCACGGTTAAAAATAAACACCTTTGTGTTAAGCGGCTAACAATCAGAATAGGTGTTTTACCTCAGTTAAAAAAGGCAGAACTGGATTGTGATACCGTTGAGCATGGCGTTTGAAGAAGTGTCTTGAACTCTTTTATGTTCGCAGTCTAACGGATGCTTGATTTGACGACTAAAATGACACACAAGTTCCGACCGAATCAGACATGATCGCTTTCTTTAAGGGTATATGAAATTGATGGTTGATAGGAAGGACGTATTTGGCCGATGACCTTTTAATTGGATACGAAGAAAATAATAAGAGTCTCATGTCAAGTTGTACTGTTCTCTGGTGTGTAACGTTCAGCCTCTGTTAATTTTGGATCAAGGCATAAAGCACCTTGTGTGACAGTGGTGTGTGTAGAGCAACTAAAGTGACGTAGAATCTTCTAGAGAGAGGACAGAAATTAGAAAAGAGTTCTAAGACTAGGCAGAAACATGGAATTCACGAACACTTAGCATTCGAAGTAAAAGTTATCGTCGTAAGGATTTTAGTACTAGACTGGAAGTGATGGTCGAAATTTTACGTTCAGCTAATAGTGATTAATAAACTATCGATGTTTTCATAGTGTCGGCCAATAAGTTTCTAAAATAAAGTTATCCAATTCTTCAACACTGATGCCGACCCCATTAGTATTTTGAACACACTAGCTAAAGGCACTCGATCACACATTTGCGCTTGATCACGAGTTGGTGCGCCGTGCTAAGCATCCCTTGCAATTGCTATCCAGCAATCGCCCCTAGACATACCGACGGCCTTCTAAATATATATTCGAACCCTTTCATTTCTGACTTCTGAGTTGAAGTGAACTGATATACTTCGATTAAAAAGTTGTGGCATTTAAAGCTCTTCTCGAAATGAGCATAACTGTGGCAACGTCAAAGATATTAATACTCGAGTTTGTGGAGCAGGTATCAAGATCCATTTAACTAACATTCTACAAAACTACCACCTTATTCATATAGTTGTATTGTAAATATACAAAGGGTCATTAGTCATAAATCGACAATGTTTGATGTAGAATAACGATTGGTAATTTGTTTTAACGTTTGAAAACCTTATTTTGCTTCTACAACTGACTCTGGCAAATATTAGAAATGTCGGAAAGCATACAAGAATGTTTGCATTTGTATTTGGAGGATAAAAACGGTAAATCTTGCATAACAATTTATCTTTCAGTGACACATGTCGAAAGAGCATTCACGTTATTGAATTTAGCGTCCAACTCATGGAAACCTGGGAAGAACTTTGCCTATACAAGCCATGATATATTACATTTGGCTGTAGTTGCTGCTGAGGTATAAAGCTATGGATAATTTTCAATTTTTCTATATTTGCTTTTTAGGCAAAGCTAAGCGGTACCGCTATTTCTGTCATTAATGTTTTTGAGAGTGTTTTTGGTGGTAATAATGAATTTTCAGATCTAGTGTCATTACTTTTCGCCGAAATATTGTTTCAAAAAAGTGAATTTTCCATTGTAATCTTTAATATAAAATAATGTTGAGTTTTAGAGCACGATAGGTCTGGCTATGGGTCACGTTGAAAAATCGATTTACTTTGCCACTGAGAGTGATCACCAAATTATTATCAATAACTTATTGATTCTTTTATACAAGTTTGTACGAATGAAAGCAACATTATTCAAGAGAGCAGAAATACCTCTATTTTTAAGGCCGAAGTTAAAGTTGCTGATGGATATGCATATTAAAGATTACTCTTTTATATTACGTTTTGGAATGTGAGAGTTTCATATTTTTCAAACTATACTTGTGTACATTTTTTGCCCAAACGCATGAAATCTTTTCAAACAAAAACATTAATATAATGAATTTTTTAAGGATGGCTATTTCACTAATTAACGAAACCAGTTTTCCATTTTCAGCTAATTATAGGGTTAGAGTCATTTTTTTCAAATATGTCTTAGAATCTCTTGTAATACCGTTTTCCACAATAAATTTTCGGTCAGTCACTCGTTTTCCCATCTCAATGAATTACAAAACTGCACAAAGAGTTGGAAAGTGAGAAGTGTTTGGCCAATTATAGTTACGTAATTAATTTTTTATCAAACTGTTAGAATGTGACTACAACAGTATCCGCTTGGTCAAAATAATTTTGTTTATTCGAAGTCATTACAAAATTGGTGTTTAGCTTATGTAAGATTTACTTTAATAACGACACTACTTTTGAGAACATCATCTTTTAATTAAGTATGACAGTTAAATTTTGTAGATATCGAAATTTTTATACAATATTTTTTATCCTTCAAGAGAGAAATGTGAGATTTACATTACTCACTTGCTTAATTAATTACGCCTATCTCCCCTCATGGAGCAGCATAGGCTGAACTCCATCAAACTCAACCATGGGCAATACTTTACAGTCGCTATTCATTCTTTTGATGTCTGCATCCGATTCGCAACCCAGTGTGTTCCTTGGTTTTTGTCTCTTTTTACCTTCAGGATACCAAGTTAGGACTTACCTCGTTATGCAGTTTGATTATTTCCTCGATGTGTTTCCCATCCACTTCCAATATCTTTTCTTAATTTCTTCTTCAGCTGGAAGTTGGTTTTTTCTCTCTCACAGTAGTCTGTTGTTGATGATATCAGGCCAACTGACATTCCGTATCTAACGTATACAACCATTTATAGATACTTGTGCCTTTTTGATGATGACTGTGATAGTGCTGGAAGTTTCATCTCCATATTGTAGAAGTATCTTGACGTATGCATTGAAAATTCTGACTTTGATGTTCGTTGACATTTTGTTTGAGTTCCAAATATTATTCAGGTGTAGGAATGCTACCCTTACTTTGCCATTCCTTGCCTTCATATCTACAACAGATCATCTTTGTATGTTGATCATGCTGATAAGCTACGTGGACGTTACCACCTCAATCAGGGCCTCTTCATCAAGTGGATTGGGTTGATTGATGCACTCTGTGTTTTATTATAGGATCTTGCCTGTTATTTCTGTATGTTGGGGCCTACCGATGCAGAGGCTACTGATACACTGTCTGTCGTCTTCTGCATTTGTTGGTGTGTATGGTATAGAAGAGATAGATTATCTGCAAAGTAAAAATTGTCTAGTTGCATGCAAACTGTACATTGTTTTTCGTGATTCCTCTCAGATGTGAAGGTCTTCATAATCAACTCAACTAACATAAGAAGGACTCTGTACTGTTGATCTCGAATCTGTGCGTCTACTAAATCTTTCATCCGGCTCAGCAACACTCTGTTGGAAATTTCTCCACTTATTGATAATAATGTGATGCCTTTGTAGTCCCCATACTTGCTCAGATCTCCTTTCTTTGATATCTTGATGAAGTATCCTTCATTTTAGTCTGTTGGCAGTTGTTACTCTTCCCAAATTTTCCCGAATAAGAAATGGAACGTGTCTGCAGCTAGTTCTGTGTTTGATTTCACTGCTTCAGGTGGTATGTTGTCGTGTCCTGATGCATTCCCGATCTTGATTTGTCTATTGGCCATCCTGATTTCTCCTATCATTAGTGGAGTGACATCTATAGGAAGATATGTGCGTGCTGCTTAGATGTTGGGTGGGTTCAATGGTTCTGATTTATTCAAGAGTTCTTCAGTGTGCTCTATACACCTGTTATTCTGTTGTTGAATCTCAGTGATTGGCTTGCCTTCTTTGTTCTTGATCGGTGTCTATGGTTTACTTTATTCCCCTTCTAGTTTCTTCGTTGTACCATGCGGTTGTCTAATATTTTCTCTTCCAGCTTTTCCTACTATCACGGCTGGGTCTTCGACATATTTTGACTTGTTGGATAGTTTCAATTCGAATACTTTAATCAAATAGTTTGTGCATCACATGTTCACTTCGGATCGACGCACGGAAATGTAAGACTTCAGGCTTTGTTTTAGGTTTATTATAAACAACACATACTCAAAACGTACTAATAAACAGAGCAATATTGAGTTGATACTATTGCCGCCGTTTTTTGTTATATTGGCTCTTCGTCGAATAGCAGGAAAGTTTCAAGTTTTGGATTTTAACTAAACTTACTCAATGCTTGTTGTAGGCTGACAGCTTCTAGATAGTAAAATAATTTTGGTCTGTTGTAGAAAATCTTTTTTTTTCAGCAAACTCTTGATATAAAAAGGTATTCAGTTTTGAAATCTTATAACAAATTTTTCTCCAGAGTGAGACTTGTGACTCCTGTGGATTTCAAAACTATTTCTAAAGAGTGTAAAATAAATACAATATTTTATTAATACCCACTTATTTGGTAACTTCCCAAATAATCTGTTTTACAGACTTCTTATCGAAACATTCATAAAAGTCGGATCCAGAAAGGAAGCGAGCCAGTTGTTAGACACGTTAGCTGGTGGTGTTGCACGTCACGTTCCTGAACAAATGGTTGAACTTCTTGCAACTGCCAGTGGGGGCAACCTAACAAGCGCTGAACGCTATATAAACTGGGGGCTTGGAGTGTATAGTGGTAATCAAACAGAATTATCCATAAACCAGCCTACCAAAAGTTCTGTGTCTCAAGCAAAAGAGCGGAATATACCGATGAGTGGACCATTGGCACATAGTTTAATCAGCTTTGGAATAGTACCCTCAAGTCGTCTAGCAAGGCTACGAGCAAGGTATGTTTGAAAGATAGTGCTATGAAAGTGTGTTGCTTTAATAAATATGGAATCAAATAAAAAATACCTTTTGAATCTTCAGGGTTCGTGATAACCATAAGTGTAGTAATCTCAATAGATACATCTCATTTCATTCCGATATTTTACTCACCATAAATGGTCAAGAAGTATTGTTCAGTTCAACAGTAATTGTCAAAATGCTGTCAACTTCCAAATTATTTAGTATTTTAACGATATGAAAGTTTTAGAAGAAAAATTAACTATTTATACTCACTACTGTCTTGGGGTATAGATCTCTGACCAAGACTCGCCAAGTAACTCTCTCCAAGGTCGTCCTTTTCAGTTATTAGAGGGTTCCATTAATGGTTTTAATTTCTATCTCTAATTATCAAAACAGTTAGTTCTTTGGCTGTATTACATAGCTCTCTCATATTTCTTCTCTTTCGGCTTGTTCTAATGTAGTTGTCGGGTCTTCCACATATTTTCGATTGTCAATTCTTCTTTTCTTGTTTGTTTGATCCTGTATATATTCGACATTTATTTAGTTTCAGTTTTAGCTTGGCCACCACTAGATAGTAGTCTAAAACCACACCAGTTTATCTCTATATTGTCACACCTTGGGTGAACTCCTGTATTTTTCACACAGATGCGACAAATATGCTTTTATGTAGTATCGTCTGGTAAAATCCATTTGGCGTTCTGCACATATTTGTTGGGAAAAATGGTGCTGACCATAACCATGTTGTTGAAATCACAGACAACCTAGTCGTGCAGTCCACGCTGCTACTTTCCGTTTATTCCACACTAACCTGAGGACTCAGACTTGACATCTGGATGGTCAGTCCTTTTACCAGGTATTTATTTCGGGTGAATTACAACATCTTACCTCCATCGCAACTACCAGTGGATTCATTACACTGTATTCTGGTCATTTCATTATTTTTCTTATTTGTATTGAAGGATGCTTTGATGACCTTGAAGCCATGGGTTTTCCATCCGATTAGTAATTTTCTGCCTCTTAAGATAATATCAGTGTAACTCCCTGCACGCGTATGAGGAATGGGATTTTCTCTCTGATGACTGGAGTGCAAAAATTACTCTTCTGATTTCAGTCTTTTATGTCTAGGTCACATTCAACTAGTTTAACCTTTTCTAAGCTAAATCAGGTTGTATTTTCTTATTTCTGTGTATATTTGAAAGGCTCTCGTGGCTTCCAAGGATCTTTAGCTTCCATCATAAGGCTGGATAACTCTTCTAAATAAATACTATGCTCTTTCTAGAGTCGAGATTATTCTATTCTCTCCTGTTAGCAGTTCTGTAGTTAGTGATTTTACTAGGCTGAATTAATAATCCAACACACAATTGTTCTCTCATACCCAGACTTAAAACTGAAAATAGCCTCAGAAAGGCTCCAGACGTAGTTGGAGTAAAACGTCTTAGTTTTTAATATCATCCTTTATTGAACATCTAGCCAGTGTCACATGAAATAATTATTCTTAAAAACCGTTATGGGGTCAAGAAAATGTAGATAGTTTGGACAATCAGATATTCTCCATTATTATCTAACCTATTAGATGTTATTTTAATGGACTTTAACAGAGAAAAATATAGTAGTTTTAGATATAACTTGATAAGATAGTTTCGTACCTGTGGCTAGTCTACCTAAAAAAGGAGTTATCGATCCGGCTAGTAGAGAATCTCAACACCTATCAAATCTTCGTGAAGTTATTCCCGAAAATTTGCTCTCTTCATTAAGTTTTGTTAAATTTACTGGTACAGTAATGCTACGTAAAGAATAATGTACAATATGGGTAAAGTGATCAGCTAAAACAAGATAAACGAAGCAGCAATCTTACTCAAGTTTGCGATTAGGAAAAATTCTAATCCTCAGTGACTTACGACAATAAATCCAACATGTCCAAGTATGCAAGCGATAATTTAGCTGTTGATCAGCGAAATTTCTAGAAAGTTGGAGAATGATGTCTAACCTACAACACCAACAATGAAGTAATTTACAATGTGATATGGAGGTTGCTAATTCATTGACATTTGTACCAAGTAAATGAAAATACCTACTTTAGACTCTAAAACATCGTGTGGTACTTTGTATGAGTTAGGTTAGCAATAAAGACTTTTAATGTACCAAAATCCCTAACTAATTTACTTAAAAGATATATTTAATGATAAAATATTACAAGCAACAATGTTTAACGTGATTATAATGTAGTTTTTCTATCGCTGATTATGTTTTCTTCGATAGCACAAAAAATCCAAGTGAACAAAGTGAAGAATTTTTGAAAATTCTACGACTGCTTGAAATTCAAGATGAAAATAACGAATTAATAACGGATAAACAATTAGAGAATAAAATATCAAACATCGGAGATTCACCAATCGATGATACTAATTATAGTAGTAACAATACTGAAATGATCAATAACTCTGAGGAGATCATAGATGATGTGCTTTCTCCTAAGTTTTTAACCACTGAAACTCGGTAAACATAAATAATATGATGATTTATAAGCTGTTTTTTCATAAATTATTATAAAGGCTACATAAAAGCGAACAATATTGTTTTCAATTAGATTGTCATCAGGTTTTACTCTAACATACTGTAACATTTATATAAAGTATGAAGTCAATAAAGACAATTTTTAAGTTAGTGATCATAAATAAATAAATTCATCAACTACACATAATAAGTAAAAAGTGCAAACCGGCAATACGTAGACAGATGTACTAGAAGTAATAAAAATAATAAAATGATGAAAGTCGAACCAATATTTTAACATAGAAGGCAGGTCAAACTTGGGTAAATGGAGATTAGAATAATAGTCACTAAAAGTTATCAAAAACAAGTGTAATTAGAAGTATGCAGGTAATCAGATAGAGAAGAATGTAAACTGGAATGAAGAAGGCCGAAAAAATACAGACAGTGAAAAAACTAGCGAAATAGTTTGTCATATCTGGCCAAAGAGCTTCAGGAAATAGGATTCTAGGTTTGGATCCCTATAGATTCTATCATATGTAGGGGATGAGGTCGAACCACATTGGGAACAACGGAGGTATGCAAATGATCACTCTAAGTAATTTGGTTTTGTCCACCAGATATACAAAAAATAGAGCTACATATTGTTTTCGACTGTCACCTTACAAACCATACAGGGTGCTGTTCATTCATTCGTTGGTTAATTTGTCTGTTAATTCACCCAAATGAATATGATTAAAAGTCAGCAGAGTTTAAATTACTGAAAAATTTCTGTGGTTGTTTCCAGGTGGAATTGCACTTTTATTTAAGCCATCATAGAAAAGAAGTGCTTTATACTTCCTCAGCTCATTATCTTGGGTTTATCGGGATGTATCCTTTTAAGATAAACCCAATTTACCCAACATTCTCTAATGAAAATGCCATTTTTTAAAACTCCGAAGGTTTGAGTTTTCTCCTAAAGAAGTTTCAAACTGAGACTTGTTTTTGGCTTGATACTTCTTATTACTATTATAGATCTGCCTACAAATCGTTAATGTCCAACCTTCACATTAAAGCAGATAGCTGGCCTTGTGGTAAATATTTTTATTATTTATTAGTTATCAATTCATCACTTACCTAAGTCGTAGCTGAATATTAATCCTAATTCATGCTTCTTTGTTTTATTTCTCGATTACAGATTCAAATTACTAGTGAGCTTGACACAGTTGGCTCTTGATCGTGATCTACTGCATATTTGCTTAAAATGCATCAAGCAATGCGAGAGTATTATCGAGAAAGAAAAGTTATCGGTAGTGAATCTTTCTATCACTTAATAGTTTGCATTATATTCAAAGAGTTTTTATGGCTTTTTAGTAGACATACGTTTGGGATAGATGAATTTTTTCATGGTTGGATTCTCTTGATATAGGCAATTATATTTGGGTTTGGTAACTGTCAGCTCCCATTAATAATCACATGTACGATTTAATATATTGATCGGTTATTTAGTTTAGATGTCAAACTGTAAGTTTGTTTAACAATAATGCAATTAGCGCTTGGAGCTGGACAGAACAATAGTAGTTAGTATGGAACAGCTGATTTATGTGGTTGGACTTTCGTTGCAACTGAAACTACATCATTGTATTAGTTAGTATCTGATTAGATAACAACACACCCGTGCTAACTGCCTTTATCACCCTCCGCAACACAGCAAAAGTTTTTCTCAAAATACTGAGAAAGAATAATTGAAAACAGTAAAGAATAATAGATAACATGAATAAATTAACAAATCGTAAGAGTAAATTTCGAGTAATGCTAAAAACATATAAACTCTTTACATAATAAGCCGGACAGAAAACTTTCTTCGATATTAATAAAACATAAGAAGACCAAGAGAGACCAAAATAAAAACCTACACAAGGATAAATGACCTTTGACACTGTTTTTAATACAGAATCTCCAATAGCACAAGCTTTATGGGATTCCAACAGCGTACTTAGATGCTGTTCATGTCTCCAACTGACATTAACAGTTTGATATTTAGAAGGATAAAGTGTGAGACTATCATTCAATGAAATACAAGGACTCATTCATTTCAAGGGAATGTGAACAAGTAGAAATCGGTGTATTTACAGTGAGGTCATTCACATACTTAAAAAAGTGTTTTTTATGGAAGATGGCAGATTATGAAAACAAAAAGGGAAAAAAAGAGAGGAAAGAACAATACCATGTGGCATACCTTCATGAGATAGTAGAGACGTAGAACATTCTCCTCCAAACACAGCGTACTGTCCTCTTCCAGAGAGGTAGGAACATATCTAGTTGGGTATCCAGCTGTCAGTTTCGACGCTGACCAACTTGTTGAGTATAAGCTGTCTAGAAAAAGTCAAAAACAGAAGCATAGTCTGGGAAAGCTCACCGAACTTACATCTTACCCTTTTCTAAGCTGAACACTATGTTATGATGCGGAACAACAGCATCATCTAAGGGGCTTGTTTTGCATCTGTAAGTAAGTTGATACAGACCAATGTGCTCTTTTAATGCAGGTTGAAATAGGAGTATCAATAATTTTTCCATTGTTTTGAGGGAAGGTGGAATTATTGTTGTTTTACACCAAAACGTTTTAAAAAGTAATGTCTGTGAGCTGCTTAGAGCTATTATCACATTAAGATTCATTTGTATTGATTATTTGTATTTTACCATTGATGTTTATGATAACAGTCGACTAGTCTCTTTTGCATATGTGCATTCTGTACAGATAGCCTCGATATTTCCATAAAATTAGAAGGATTATAAACAGAGTTACACAAGTCAGTGGCTATCTGTAGTCAATATCTAAGTTGATAATACGTTAAGCGTCTGAAGCAAAATGTACTTCATTCAAGTCCTGTGATGTGAGATGCAATTGTTTTCACTACAAACTTATATATCGTCAAACGACCAATAAGACCTGAGGATAATTTACTATCTACTCCATTCTAGTTTACAAGTTTTTAGTATTGTAAATTATTTCTTCTGTAATCCGTAGACATTGAAATTCAATGATTGACATTTATTAACCAGATGTACTGCCGGTTCATTGTTTGTAAAAAGAATATATGGATTTTATTAATACTCACAAAGCATTTAGATTTGTTCGGCAAAGACTAAACAACTTTACGACAGATAATTGTCAGGATCAAGTTATTTATTTCTTTTTATGCTTCTTTTTCACCATTAAAGGACTTTTTGATTCACTGGGATTGTAATAATGAATATACTAGTTTATAAATTCATATTAGTACATCACTATAATCTATTCAGTGTTTAATGATACTAACTGAATTAAGTGAAGTGTTTTATAATTTCATATTTCAGTTGATGGGGTAGGATTATACCTTAATGAATGAAATAATTGATCATTTAAAATATTCTGATATCTTGATTTATTTTATAATTTCACGTATATAAACGTAATAAACTGTAAAATTCATCGTTCAGTTAATCTCATAATACTGTTACTTAAGATGAAATACATCATTATCTTTTACTTACTTAGAACAAAGAATCAGCTTCAATGATGTTCCATTTTCTTTCACTTGAAATAAACACTCAAAACCTTGCGGTGAAGGTAGCCAAAACTTCTAATCAGTACTTATCAGTAAGTTTTACATGATATTCTGATGAGTTTTCATTTTATGAAATATATAATATGTATATGAAATAATATTTTCATAGCTAATATGGATGAATTAAACCTTTTAGACCGGCTCATTCAAACTTATTGTTCAAAAATTAGACGATATGATTTATACTAACAGTACCTAATTACCGATTACCATCGTAACTTGATAGCTTATTGAAGTAAAGCTTGTTGAATTATACTAGATGTGAATACACCAACATTGGAAGAGAGGAAATAAAAATATTACGACGGAATAATCTAAACCATTTCAAATTGAATTAAATCTCATACCGGTTGCACAAGTGTGTGAATGTCTGGACTCAGTAGCCAAGTGGATGACGCGATAGTGTTTGAATAAAACGGTACTGGTTTTGAGTCCTAGGGCAAGCACATCCACCTGATGAGTCCCAAATGTGACGAAACGCGTATTCTACAAACCAATGCCAACTATATTCCATCTGTTTTATGCGAACTTGTGTAATAATGACTATATTTAGGTAATCCGCTCAGGATGCTTAGATGCCAACCAGGACTGATCAGATTTTAATTAAAAATATCAACAACGGGATAATCCAAATCATTTGAAATTGAATTCAAAGAAATAAAGGTGTCAAGTGGGAATTTTTCACCGTTTTAAACGATGATAGTGTGTCATCGTTTTTAAGATATCGACCAGTTTTCTCATTAAACAGTTATGTATTCAATATTCTGGCAATAAAAAAAAATATTGATAAATGGGAACATTATGCAGTTGCGAAGTTCTGTAGAGAGATCAAAAATTGCATTATAGGTAGTTGATCCTATAAAAGTGCCATAGTTACTAAAAAGAGACTTATATAGTTGGCTTCACATGAACTCTGGGACAGACTGAGAACTCAATAACTCATTAATGAGGTAGTTTTTGCGAGGTATTAGCAAATCCTGACTACAACAAGCTGTTCAGATATGCAATCTACAATATATTCAGTTTATCATTGTTTTCGACCTTCAAATGAGTTGTGGTATGTTCATGTGATCAAATTATAAAATTCTAATATTTCTAAATCCTTTCTTTGGTCCTCATGTTTTTCATACCAAACAATCGAAAAAAGCATGGAAGTTACTGTCCTACGTTTTTTGTTAAATGAAATCTAACTTGTGTGAATTTTATTTATAGATTACTAACTTTTCTAATCATATATTTTTAGGTTCATTATCATGGGATGCAGAAGTGTTATAATTTATTAGAACAATGTTTATCCTCTCCTATCTATCAACCAGAAACAATTATTCAAGGTTGTCTTACTTTGTGGCGTTTATGTTCACCACTGATACAGCATAATTCACAGACTAGGCTAAAGACATTTAAAAGTTTACAATTGATCAACCATCATTTAACTAAACAAGATAGGTGAGAACAGTAATTTTAGAATATTTGATATTAATTCAAAAAACTAATTACATTAATTGCTTCATACTTATCTTTAACTGTGCCTATCGAGTAGATTGATGAATTTGCCAAGTTTCTGATTAAATGCTACAGGTGAATAACTCGAAGAATGCAACAATACCGAGGTGATTTCATGACTATTCCAAGAGATGAGATCATCTTAATTTTATCACTAAATAGTAAACTGAAGCTTAATGAGTATTGCTATGAGATAAATGTTACTGTTAATGAAATTAAAAAAAACTTTTAGTTTAAATGAAGTGTGTTTTATAAAGTTACATAGGCAGGAAATTTTAATACCTAATATATAGTGACTAGTGAAACACCAGATACAAAAATGATGTAACGTTAATATAAATAAGAGATTGAACGTAGATGAAAACTAATAAGCTTGGAAATATTTGATTTATTGTGATAATTAGGAGTATTTGAATTACAGTACGAACTAAGAATCCCAGAAATAACGTAATCGGATCAAGAAGTACCAGATAAGCACAAACGAATGTACTGTATTTAGAATTCGAAATCAAGCATTCAATAAGCACAAAGGAATCATTAGTTCATTCAAACACCACATTTGTGTAGCTTGATTAATAATACATTTCACTATTCCGATAATGTAATAAGACGACGAAGATGATCTTATTACATTATCGAAATTTATCAAAGGGACCAATTGCTTTACATTTCACTAATCCAAGAGTAATATATGTATATAATCTCAGTAAAAAAAAGAAGAAATCACATAATACGTAATTTTTTGATGACATATTTTTAGTTTATATTTTCGTCTGAGATGTGAAGTGCATATGATGATAGCCTATTGTCAAGCTGATATGGAACAAATCACCGAGGCTTTAGACAGTATTGACAAGGTAGGTTTAAAATAATAGTTACATTGCTTTTTTTTCTCTCAATATCATATATTTTCGATCTTACAAGTGGTTGGACAGAAATGATATATCATATTACTTATTTGTAATCAGTAGCAAACAATAAAGATATAATGTTCTATTCTAACAATTTGAATTTTTACATACACAGTGTATATTTTAAAAAAAATTACCAAGGAGTCAACGTAAATGATATTTTAGATTGCAAGAACCGTTTTCTCAGTATAATGGTTGTGGAGCTTGTTAAGTTTTTTATTGAGATCATGAATCAATTGATGTTAGACCACCGTTGGAAACCTGGAAGCACTGGACGGCGGTTTCGTCCTAGTATGGGACTCTTCAGCAGTG